AAAAAAAAGCACAGAGGAGGAAATTTGGAAATACCTCAGAAGCATACCCCTAAACTCTTCCACGTAGTCTTGTTCCAAGCCTTACAAAATGCCCCATGAGACTGGAGTATGACTTCCTTCTCCGGGCTATAATGTCCTCACCATTAAGTTAAGAGAGATTGGACAATTTATTTTTAAGAAACTTCAAAGGCTTAAATGCTATCATTCTAAGAACTTGACCCCATCTGGACAAGCAGTTTGGAGATTCTGTTGAGGGTACATTGATAGGCCAACACGAGAGATGGTTACTTACAGGTCACTCAGATAAAATGCATAAACTTCTCTGACCTTGGCAGTCTGTGAACAGATAATAGGGTTCCATACCAATAGCATAACCGAGGCAGATTGTACGTATGGTTGTGTTTGGCACTGACATCTGGAAAATAAGTATTATGTCTCAAAAAAAAAAAAGAAAATTGCTGTCTGTGCTTGTTGACATAGGACTTAACTACAAGTCTTAGACGGTGAGCTATGGGGCATGAATGAGGGGTTCCAAGACTTCTGACTGTAAATGATGAGCTTTATTGGCCCCGAAGAAGGCTTCTGTTGTCTTACCCAGTTCTTGTGGGGCTCTCACGGAAACTTCTCTCCTTCCAGGTTCACTGAAGAAGTGCTGTCCATTGAACTGGGTGCATTTTCAGTCTAGCTGTTACTTCTTTTCTACTGACACCATGACCTGGACAGCAAGTTTAAAAAACTGCTCCAGCATGGGGAGTCATCTGGTGGTTATCAACTCGCTAGAGGAGCAGGTAATGAGAGTACAGCTTCCTCCAGTGTCCGTCACAGGAGCCATCTTGTTTTCCATTCACGTGTCCAGTATTGGGCATACAATTACTATGTGTTAAAAAAAATTTACTGAAATACATGCTGGTCTTACTATTTCTGTAAGTCAATACCAACTTTAATATATTTTCACTACTAGAAGAAACTAAAAAAATGAAATTCCCACATTCAGCTCATTTATTAGTAAGCCTGGAAAAAAAGAGGGCTGGGACTTCATTTTAGAATGACCATTATGTTTATGAACATGTCATATGAAAGACAGTGAGCAAAAATTGTCTATTTTCTTTAAGTTCTGATTTATAAAGTTTTGTGTTGCCAATAACAGTAGATAAACTTTGAATGAGTTATTGAGAACCTCCTTCTCTGCTGATGGTTCTTTTTCATTGGTTTAATTTTAGGGTACATATGTTTTAGCACAATAAACAAATCAGGAGATAATCTTCCATGATCTTACAATTTCAGGCCCATTTTTCTATCATCTCTGGTCCAGATCCTACCTTCTCTCTTTTAATAACAATTACCTTCAACATTTGTTCAGCACTGGAATAATGGATCTCCTAATTTTTGTATGTATCTTCCATAGGAATTCCTTTTCCTTACAAAACCTAAAAAGAAAGAGTTTTATATTGGACTGACGGACCAGGTGACCGAGGGTCAGTGGCAGTGGGTAGATGGTACACCTTTCACAAAGGATCTCAGGTAATTTCCTTCTTGTAGGAGAACTGTAACATTGCCCCAAATCCTAAAGTTAGCCTGCGGTTGACGGGAGTTCTCGGAACAGCCTTCGTTCCAGGAGGTATGTTCATGCCCACCCATGGTGATACTAGTTGCAAGAAGGGAAAGAGCTGATGAGGAAGAGGGAAAAGAGAGGCCTCAGGGTCTGCTTCCCCCATTTCCTGGAACTCCCTCAAGAATGAATGGGAAATAACAGACGAAAACGAGAAGGGGCTTGGAACTGAACACTAATTCACTGGAAATGCAGGAGAGGCAAAGGGTGCGATGCAGGGTCTTATGCCCCCAAACTGTAGTAAATGAGACAAAAGCAGTGACTTGAGAAAGATAAGAGATTCTTACGGTGTAAAAGTAGGAGGCTCTGATCCTTTAAAGAGTTGTTTCACTCCAGCACTGTAACACCACTGACGTACGCACCTCAGTTAAGGCAAACTCTGTAGAATAAAGGGGGCCAAATGTCGTAGGAGATATGAGTGTGAAGGAAAGAAATCCATCAGGATACCAGTCTGTCCCATAACATATCATTCTGGGTCTAAAGCCACGAGGGACCGATTCAGAGTACAAAGTCAAAAAGACCCAGATCAGCTTCGTTACTCACAAACTCTATGACATAGAGAAACTGGTTAGCTCCTCAGAGATTCCTTTTCTTCATCAATAAAGAGGAGATTATATTACCTACCTCACAAACTGTTGTGACGTTAAATAACACAAATGGGATTTGGCTCGTAAATGGGTCCCTTCACCTCCTGTAAATCTCCCGTGTCTCTTTCAGCTTCTGGGACATAGGGGAGCCCAACAACATAGCTACAGTGGAGGACTGTGCCACCATAAGAGACTCTTCAAACCCGAAGCAAAGTTGGAATGACGTAACCTGTTTCTTCAGTATGTACTGGATTTGTGAAATGCCAGAAAGAAATAATTGAACAAAGAAAAATCTCCAACACAGAAGGCATAACTTAAATATTTAACTGAGAATCGTTATGAACTATGTAACAAGAGCGTAAACAAACAGCTGCACAGCTCCAATATGAGAAAAGCGTGCATTGCACTTTATAAGGACATCATTAAGTATTTGTTGCCTTGCTATCAATAAAAATGAGTAGTTTTGAATGAAATATAATTCATGATACTGACTGAAGTGCGTTGTTCTCTACATCAGTCTTGGGGTTTCTCAGAATTTACCAAGTTTCTCTGGCAATGCTGTGAGAAGAAAGGAATGTCTTTTGGTACTTTTGCTTCATTTGCGAGTATTCATACGAAAATACAGGGACATTGAACAAGTACAGAATCCAGCCAAGAAGAGAATTTTGGAAAGTGCCTTTAAACAATCACCTGAATTTGGGCTCTGTCAATTTGTCTTCTTTCTAGTTCTGAAAATTCTGTCTTCTCTTCTTGATTTCATACTGTCTTTTACCCCCTACTCAAGAGTATATCCTCAATATGTTCTCCTGCACAATGAGTAGGAAACACTGTCAAGTCATGAAACTTATTCCTGCTCAAGAGACTAGGGTGGACTTCCTGGCCAAAGGCATTTACTGCCCCTTCTTAGAAAGGCGATGCTAACAATCAGCTCCAAAGAGACTGTCCTCCAGTCCTCTCGTCCCAGAAACTCACCTTCCTCTCTGTTCCCTTCCGCTGGCTAACTGGGTCTCACCTGAATTTATATCTATTGCTCAGCCAGAGCCAGAGTCCAACAATCAAATTATTCTAAGAGAATATTCAACTTGACACTTACCTGTCTCAAGCCTGCCCACTTACTGCATGATAGTCTATCAGTACCAATAAGTTTATTCAAGAATATGTAAGTAACACAGCAGATTTTATAACCATGTTTCTTGCACACAGTCCCAAAACGAGACCCTCAAAATTCATACGTTGGAATTAACACGTAATCACTGAATGGGAAAATTCAACAGAACAAGTGCATATGTTAGCTTTCTTTACAAACATTTATTTCTCTTAGTCAAAAGTGACAATCTGTGGTTTTGAAGTCAATATGCCTTTAAAAACAAGTCATTCAACCTGAAAGTAATTCAATAAATATATCTTCTATTTATATAAATTATATATTTCTATATTAAATAAATTATATATTTCTAATTTCTTTTTTCATATTGTAAACATCAATTTAGGGAACATTGAAAACATGATAAATTTTTTTATTCATTGTTGTTACACTTCAGTTGGCTATAATTATTTTAAATTTTATTTCAATATTGAAAGACATAAAAATATTAATGTGTGCTATTTCCCCATTTACTTAGGATTTAGGTTATACAACCAACTTTGTCTTCAAAGTTTGGCAAGGAAAGAAACAATTGTTAAGGGTTTAGTGGTTAGAGTAAAGGTCATTGGAACCTAGATTATTTATCTGGAAAATTCTTCTTTAAGAAGCAGAGCATCCAGTTGAAACTTTTAAAATATAACATTTTATAAATAGGGCTACACAAATACGTAAGAACCAGAAAACCCAGAACATTACAAAAAATAAAAGAATAATTAATCATTCATATTCCCAAGACCGTATTCCTCAAATAAACCACTGTTAAGATTTATTTTGGCCCCTAATTTTTTTTTATTGTTAACTTTTTAAAAATTGAAGTACAGTTGATCTACAATGCTAATGTCTACTGTACAGCATAGTAATTCAGTTATACATATATATATTCCTTTTTCGTATTCTTTTTCATTATAAGCTATTACAAGGTGTTGAATATAGTCCCCTGTGCTATACAGTGGGACTTTATTGTTTATCTATTTTATCTACAGTAGTATATAGTACTATATACTTTATACATAGTAGCTTTCTATCTTGTAATAGTAGTACAGTATAGTAGCTAAACCCAAACTCCCAATTTATCCCATCACCCACCTCCTGTCCCCCCTGGGAACCATAAATTTGTTTCCTATGTCTGTGAGTCTATTTGTTTTGTAAATAAGTTCTTTTGTCTCATTTCTTTAGATTCCACATGTAAGTGATATCATACGGCATTTTTCTTTCTCCTTCTGTCTTACTTCACTTAAAATGATGATCTCCAGGTCCATCCATGTTGCTGCAAATGGCATTATTTCATTCTTTTTTATGGCTGAGTAATATTCCATTGTATACACAAACCACAACCTCTGTGTCCAGTCATCTGTCGATGGACATTTAGGTTGCTTCCATGTCTGGCTGTTGTAAATAGTGCTGCGATGAACATTGGGATGCGTGTACCTTTTCAAATTAGAGTTTTCTCTGGATATATGCCCAGAAGTGGGATTGCTGGATCATATAGTAAGTCTGTTTTTAGTTTTTTGAGGAATCTCCCTACTGTTTTCCATAATGGCTGCACCAAATTGCAATCCCACCAACAGCATAGGAGGGTTGATTTTCTCCACACCCTCTCCAGCATTTAACCTTTGTGGATTTTTTTTTTAATGATGGCCATTCTGACTGGTGTGAGGTGATAGACACGTCAATGTAGTTTTGATTTGCATTTCTCTGATAATTAGTGATACTGAGCATTTTTTCAGGTGTCTGTTCGCTGTTTGTATGTCTCCATTGGAGAAATATTTGTTTAGGTCTTCTGCCCTTCCTTGATTGGGTTGTTTGTTTGTTTGTTTGTTTGTTTTTGCTATTGAATTGTATGAGGTGTTTGTATATTCTGGAAATTAAGACTTTGTCAGTCACATCACTTGCAAATATTTTCTCCATTCCATAGGTTGTCTTTTCATTTTGTTTATAGTTTCCTTTGCTGCACAAAAACTTATACATTTAATTAGGCGTCACTTGTTTATTCTGGCTCACATTTGTTTATTTGTATTACATTTCTTTTGGGTAGGTGTGGTCTACAAATAGTGACGGTTTGGGTTTTTTCTTTCCAGTTCTTCTGATTATTCTAAGCTAGCTGGGACTACCAATATACTGCTACATAGACGCGGCTACAGTGAGCATCCTTGCTTTGCTCTGGACTTTAAAGAAAACACTTCTGGTGATTTACCATTAAGTTTTTAATGGTTGCTGTAGGTGTGGGGTGGACCCTCTGCAGAAAATTCCTTTTACTCCTTGTTTGTTAAATGTTTTACACTAATTTATTGATTTTATTAAGTGATGCTTAAGCATCTCTTTCTAAATGTTAATATGATTAATTAATCAATAAACTCACATACTATGTGCATACATGTACATTGCTTAAAAAACCAAAATCTTCTACAAGGGTTATAACTGGAAATAGCTATTTTTGGCTAACTCCTGATGCCCGTGTCCAAGAGGCAACCATACTCAACTCTTCAGATGTTTCTTCTGTTGAGTTCCATGTTTCTAAACAGTGTAGGTTCTACTTCTATCTAATAGTTTCCAAATACAGTTTATACTAAAATGTTTTTTTCCATTTTAGATAATTTGATAATTTCTCCATGGTCATAAAAAACAAGAATCTCCCTCTCTCTCTCTCTCACTCGTAAAATTCTCATCCCTCTGACGGGAAGGTATATAGCTCAGTGGTAGAGCACATGCTTAGCATGCATGAGGTCCTGGGTTTGACCCCCAGTCCCTCCATTAAAGGCACTTGGTGCTACTTCAGCTGTCGTAAAGAAACTGGAAGAATGGTAGAGGTGCCATGAGAGTTGAGAATAGACTGAAAAGGAGCAAGGGTGGACGCAGGGAGACCAGCCAGAAGGCTGTTGCAATAATGCAGGTAGGAGAGATGGTAGTTTGGTCTGTGGCGGTAGCCACTGGAGGGAATGAAAAATGGTCAACATTGGGAGAAATAGGCTAGAAGTATGGATGTAGACACAGGTGTATAAAGTCACAAAGAGGCCACATTTTATTGACAACTGAACCTTTACCTAAATACAGTTTATACAAACTAAAAATGGGTAATATTAGCTATACAAAGCCTACTATCATTTACATAAATTTATTTCAACAAGTTTTATAGATTTGTGCTGTGTAATTTATGGCAAACACAAAGTCACTTGGTACTGCTTTAAATACATACACACACACACACAACCAATCAAACGTTAATATTCCAAACTCAGAAAATCACTAATTTATAAAAAATCAGTATTGTTTTTTGAAGACAGTGGTAAGGAAGTTAGGTTAAAAAGTTGTCACTCGCAATTTTTTTTAGCTTAGATGCAGGAAACATCAGCAAACTGAAAATTTTAAGAAAGAACCACCATATTTTGTTGATGTTGGATGTGACTGCATCACAATTAACACCACATACATCACAAAAGCATAACTTCAGTTTGTGAAAAGGACTTCCTTGCTAGTTTAAACCATAGCTTTATAGCTCTAAAGAAACATGCTAACAATTCACCTAAATGGGTTGAAATTTTTTTTTCTGATTCCAATTAAAAGTATAGAAACACTAATATGATGTTACATGAATAAATAAGAGCTATTATCTATCTATTGGCCAAGAGGCCATGTCACCCCCAGTGACTTTCCCCTAATGTCAAAGTGAATACATTTCACCTGCTATGCAAGATACATCTAAGCCATAATCCTGTTTCTATCATGAACTAGCTGAGAGAAGGAGAGCCCTTTGGCTTCCCAAGGGTTTCATTCCCTCAGCTATACAACAGGAGGAGCTACGGTGGCCTGTAAGGAACTTTTCCACTCAAAAGGAAATTGTCAGCTTGAGACCCCCTGCTCTGGGAAGACATTTAGAGTAGAATAAGAGGTACATTTTTTGAAAGGCAAATAGATTTTGTTTTTTACCTGAGCCATACCATAATTCCAACTATACTATCCTGCTGTTCCGAAAGTATTTTGCTCATGGGTTGTCAATCTAATGACTGATACTACTAAAAAGTCTGAAATGAAGCATCAAACAATAAAAATGTTTAAAACCTTTAAAGGGTTTGTGATATTTGGGTTTAAAAAAAAACGGTACACCACTACCACTTGAAATAGTCCACCTTTGAATTTTAAGAGCAGAGAACGGGGGCAGAGGAAACAATGACTTGGCGACTGCACCATTCAAACCCTCTTAGGTACGTAATCATTGCACGCCAATTGAAAAGTAAATACCTTGAAATACTCTCAAGAAAGCAAAGTTGATAAAACTGATCCTTGTAGAAAAAAATGATCTAAAAAATGATTACTTACACAAAAACACATTATCTTGAATGAATTAAACAAAAATAAATACGGCCATCACGGCTGCAAATGTTCTATGACCCAGAATGTTGTCTCCGTTCCAGTGACACACGAACATCCTGCCCTAGACTAACTGGTTCTTCTTTCCTGTCCTCATCACAAGGACTCCTTCACAGGTTTCTAGCTGAATCCTTTCCAGGTATCTTGCAAATCCTACTTGTCTCAACGTTACAAGCAACAACTTTCCAGGCCCATTTGTCTTGGTCATTAACAAGGACAACACAGTCTTCTCTCTGAGAGTTGCTGGGTTCACCTTCATGCCAGAATCTGGAATGAAAAAAATTGTGTGTGTGTGTGTAAAACAGGGCAGAGGGCAAAGCAAGGAAAGTGCTCCTGGGGAACAGTTTCGAGCTGCATCCTGGTGTGGCGGCCACTCAGCACACAGTGCTCTGTTCTGAGCAGGCTTCCTTATGTGGGTGTGCTCCCCCCAGGATGAATTCCCCTTGCTGTCTTCTCACCTTTGCCTATAAAGCTCCTTCACCCCAGTCTGTATACTCACACCATCTGTGGGTTGAACGGTGTCTTGTCCACCCAATGCCACTGGCCTTCAAGGTTCTCATCTGTGAGTCCCAGGAAATAGGAAAACCGTTTATCCAAAAACTGAGTAATAAAGTTCTGTATAAAAATGTGAATTATTATAAGTATATTTGTATTTACCACGGGAAAGCTGTTATGTTAGAAAAAGAGGAAAGAGATCAAATAAATTACTCGTTAAGCACCAGTGCGTTGGCACCAGGTCTGTTTTCAAATCTGCTTCTGACATTCATCGTGTACTATTAATCAGTGCTTTAATTTCACCAAACCCCAGTTTTCTCAGCTCCAAAAGGGACAACGCCACAGCTTCACAGAATTGCTGTGCAAGATTGAGCTCAGCTTTCAAGTCACTTAGCCCAGTGCTTAACAGGGTTGGATTTTTAGGAACTTTTGTTTTTAAAATTGCCTTCATTAACCGTGTATTTCATTAAATTCTTTTTTATTCAAAGAGTTGGTGAACCTGTAGGTCACAAAGCCATGAACACGGAATCCAGGAAACCCTGCTAACCAAGAAAGGAGTGAAATCTGAGTCCTGGCACGGACATGGAAATATATTACATGAGGAAATAAGTTTCAGTTCAGAATTGAATTTACCTTGCGATTTTTTTTTAGAATGACAACCATACACTTGAATTATTTTTCCTGTGTTTTATCCTGAGAAGCCATATCAGTCCTGATGAATCATTCATTTATTTACTTACCACTGAACATTTATTAAGATCTATGCAGTGTGTCTAGCACCGTGCAGGCCATTGGAGATGCAAAGATGAGTGAGGTGTGGCTCCAGCCCTCCACAGAGGAGGAGTCGTTGGAAGAGCTGGAGTAGCGAAAGGACGATTGCACACGCTGGAGCAAGGGCCACGCTCCCACGATGCACAGAGCACCCCGGGAGGGGCTCCAAATTAGAACAGGGCGGATGGGGTAGGGAGGATGGTCGGGTAGTTTTCCGGAGGAAATAACACATGAATCTAATCATGGAAGACCAGAATAGGTTGGCCATAAGAAGAGAAGTGAGAGAGGAAGGAAGGTCTTTCCAGGTGGATGGAATAGATGAAGCAAAGGCACACAGGCACAGCAGAGCAGAGAAATTCCTCCTTCTCTGCAAAGAGATTCAAACCAGCAGAGAAACTGATGTGCGCCTCCCAGCAGACCTGCTCAGCTTCTGTGCTGATGGTGGCCAGGTGAGCCCCCAACCCTATACAGTTCCTTTCGCTCTGAGCCCATGTCTTGTTGTCGGTAAGTGGAACGTAGCAGCTGGACTGGAAGGCTCGCCAGCCAGCAGGGCAGCAATGCCAGGCTCCCTCTCCTGTGAGAATCGAAATAAAAATAGTTGCACAGGAGCACATCATCTGTAGCACATTGCATAACTATTCCACTGCCTCACGTCCGATTAACATTTATGAGGATAAAACCAGGATTACTGAAATCACTCTGCCCACCCTTAAAAAATCCCGAAAATTACATTTCTGAATATCTTCTAGACAAAAGTATCTGAATCACATAGCGACTGTGAGAAAATTACAGGCTGTTCTCTCAGAAGGCATGGTCATTTTTCAGTCCTTACATCCATTTACAATCACATTTAAAGTGTTTCCATAATAAAGCCTCTTGCAGGACATCTTGTCTGACGGAGGCAAAGAACCTGCTAAAACTCTCGTGCACTTCCCCTCATTCTCCCAAACGAGCCTTTACAAACTCCAGAATAATAAAGGAGATACAGACATTTTGGCAAAGCTATACATTCTCAGAGGAAACAGTCCTTATGCTATATCTGACTGAAAAGAAAATGGAATTGATGCTATGTTTCTGATGCCAAAAAGGGCCCGTAAATGTGTTCTGTTCTCCAGTTAATCATTCCACTGATTATACCATGAGGAAGAATTCTGTCTCAATTTACTGGTGTTCACTCTCATGCCAGATTCTCATCTTACGTTATTTTAATCTCTCGGGCTTATTAACAAATTATTTTAAATCAGATTATGAATGTGAATGGAAATGGAAATAAGAAAGAAACTCTCTTTTGCTCCTTGTTACCTGTAACTTTCAGTGCTGATTTCCCTGCGACACATGTCAGCCTTGGGTAGCACTTTGGTGGCTTGAACACCCCCGAGACTCTCTCACAGCGTAGAATGTTGTGATAAGTCACTGTCGAGGAGGAAGAAAACTTAATTTTTTTTCCCTATAAAATGACTCAATTAGGGAAACGGGGCCAACTGTTCTAAACTTGCTCTTGCCCTAGTAAAGCCCCCACGTTCTCTGTTCTTCCCTCGCAGCTCCTTTGTCCCCATTCCAGATGTATTGGTTGAGAGGAATTGTTGAAGATTAATATTTTTCACATCACATGGTCCATTCTGTGCTTTGTGGGGGTAGTTTTGCAAACCTTCATGTGCGTGTGCTTTTAAGCATCTTTTCCCATCAGAATTTGTGTTAGAGTGGAGATTTTTGGCGAATACTGGGATAGTCTTGCAAAGTTCTATGAGCCTGACACATTTATTTATCTTTTAAATATTTTTACTTTGGAATATAACCAAATCTAAAGAAGTGAAAAACATAAGTGTACAGTTTATCAAGTTATTGTAAAGCGAGTATTCCGGGTAAAAATGATGGGCTCAGGAAACACAGTGTTGCCAACACCCCAGGTGGCTGTCGGAGCCCAAACGCAACTCCCGCCCTTTCTCTTAAAGGCAACCATGCCATGGCTTTTAAAGTCCTTTGTGCTCTGCTTCACTTTTACCACTTAATAACGGTCACCAACCTTCACATGTATTGAAAAGGGTCTAAATTCCATCTTTCATTGCCTGATACAAAGCAGCATCATAAAAGAACAGAAGGTCAAGCATGTAGCTCTGAATTTTAAATCCAAGACCCTGAATTTTAAATCATTACAGATTGATATGTGGGAGAAAATCAAGATAACAAAAGATTCAGAGCAACTTTATAAAAGTTGCTCGGGTAAATAATTCAAGGAGAGTTCCACTTTTGCTAATAACTTACCCACACAATTTGCAATAAAACAGGCACTTAGAAGTGAGATGAGAACAGTAGCCATGGCCCAAGGGATCAGCCGGGGGTGCTGGCCGCCTCCTCCTGTACAAAAACAAGAGAACTAGCCTGTCTCGTTCTTAGCTACCAGAACCAGGGAAGTAAATTCTACCAAGGAGCAAACTAAGGATGGATTGTCCAAAATATTTCAGATCTGGAGGAGAGCTTAAAGATTTTTCCTAAATAAATCAATTTCAGAGCTCACCGATGAATAAGGAAGAAATAAGAAGAACGTAAACAACTTTTTTGATTTTTTGAATAAGGACAGGCTTTTTATAACCAAGACTCAAAACCCCCAATCACAAAATATTGATAATTTGGGGACATAGAAATCAAAACTTCCAAATAACACAAATAATGTTAAAACACAAGGAATATATGAAAGAAAAATCTTGTCACAATATTAATATCCAGACTGTATAAAGAATTTCAAAAAACAATTTGAAAACTGAGCAAAACATTTGAGCAGGAAATTTGCTGAAAATCTAACTTGCTGAAATTATTTTAAAAATCCATTAAACAAACAAACAAGAAGCGTGCTCAGAGAAATGTAAACCAAAATATTATTATGGTATGATTTTTCATATATCAGAATTTTTAAAGTAAATTGAAAATACATAGTATTGGTGAGACAGAGGGAAACACTCAGTAAGGAAATAAATGTCACTGCTGAATAGTAAATTAGAAAGCTTTTTAGACAGATCAAGTTAGAAGCACTTATCAATTTTTTTTTAAAGTACTGCATTTGTTTTATTCTTTTTTTTTGGTTTTTGTTTTTATTTTGGGGTTTTTTCGGGGGGTAATTATGTTTTTATTCATTTATTTCTGGTGGAAGTACTGGAAATTGAACCCAGTGCTAGGCACACACCCTTCCACTGAGCTATACTCTCCCCCCAGTTATCAAATTTTAAATGCATTACACTTGCCATAATTTCAATTCTAGATATCCACCCTATAGAAATAACTTATTTATAAAAAGAATATTCATTGCAGTAATTTTGGAAATAGAAAAAAATCCCTGGAATCTAATAGTTGGATACGTACCATCAAGAACAGAGATTCTAAATTATGGTGAATCCACATGATGCAAGTCTATACAGCAATTAAGATAATCAACTATATGTGTATGTACTGGCAAAAAAAAATCTCCAAGCATATTGTTACACAAAAAGGTGGTTTTCAGCACCATTGTACATCATGATGTCAATGAAATTTGGGTGGCGTAATGCGATGAAGTGAAACATTAATTTTTAAATTACATATTTCTGCATTCATTCTATATATTTCTCAAAGCTATTTTTTAATGTTCTTGTAATACAAATTCATTTGTATCACTTAAGTAAAACATAAACGAAGATGAAGTAAGAGCCTCAGACACACTGCTGCCTCAGCCAATGTGTTTTCTGTATCTTTCTTCTCCCTCTTCCCTTAAAAAGAATCTTCCCAACTTTCTTTTTTTTCATCTTATTTTTACAGACGTTCTCTCCTCTCTTGCCCCAATTTACATTTCATAAACAAGTTACTGGTACTCCAAATGAATGAATCTAAGTCCTTCCTCTTTACCAAAATCATTTTCACATCCCTCAACCTCTTTTTCCCCATCATCTTCAATCTTCACAACTACAACTGTCATCAATTCATATTTTAAAATATTTGTCATAATCAAGTATGCCCTCGTTAAACTTGAAAGGGGAAAAAGTACTCACGATTATTTTGTGGTTCTTCTTGCCCCATTGTGTGCTAAATCTCTTATGGTCCAGTAGTTGGGAGAACCAGTAGCCTGAGCAGCTGTTTATATTTTTTCCACAGGGTATATTTCTGTGAATAAAACATACATACATTTAGAAATTCTTGAGGTTGAACATTAACCTTACCTATTCTGGTAAGACTAGAACGTTCCCGTATAAAAGACAACTGAAAAGAAGAAGTCTTTTCAAAGACTGAGGTTTCCTTTGATTCACTCTGGTTTGGAGCAAAGGAAAAGGGAAATTGAGAAAGCAACACTCAGAAACAGTAGAAATTTTCACAAGTACGTTGAGGTAACCAGACCAATGTGTCATGTAAAATTTCTTAATTTGTTTTTAGTCGTTCAAACAAAAAATTTAGCAGTGCCCTAAAAGAATAATAATTGAATCCAATAAAAAACAGAATTTTCCTCAAGGTTTTCTTTTCCTGAATATTATATTTTCTTCTTTTTTTTTTCTATAATGGAGGCATTAGGGATTGAACATAGGACGTCATGCATAATAAGCATGCACTCTACCACTGAGCTGTACCCTCCCCTGAGAACTGAATTTTCAAAGGCAGTTACGTTCTTAAGGTAAACCTGCCCTAGAAAGTTCTCGGAACTGAATAAGTTGTATGAAAAATGACAAAAGACAATGTGAGCAATAAGCAAAAGCTTTAAATCTACACAGCAATGTTTGTAAAGACACAGAACTTTTGTTGAGGAGTTGAGGAAAAGGTGGTGGAGCTGTTGCTTAAATCCCCAAATCTTCCGATGGGAGAAAATAAACTTGTTAAGGCAAAGGAAGAGGGAATGTGAAGTTGCCCCAGTCCAGGTTGCCAGCATCTCCTGGAAGGAGCTTGCGCACACATCTGGCTCCCTGATTTTCGTGGCTGCCATCCAAAGGATACAACCTTTGACTGCTCGTCTCTAGTGGTCACCGAGGTTTGCATTTATGGGTCCCTCAGGACTGCAGCAGACAAAGAAAGAGTTCTCAATCAACTGTGCGCTACTCCCCACCCCACCAAAGCCAACACAGAAGCAAGAGACAGAAATGCTTATCTCCCATTCCTTCCCAGAAAGAGGCCTATTGGCAAACTTTAAGAGCTGCTGCCTGAGGGTCAGGCTTTTAATTGAGCACACATCTGGGACAGACTTCTATCCTCCTCAGAGCCCAGGGAGACCAGCAGGTGCCATCTGAGTCACCACTGTCTTTCTAGAACAAGCTTGAACACACATCTGGCACCAAGACTTTATCACTTCACCCACGGGATACACTCCTCTATTGCCTGGCTTTGGTGGCCAGTGGAGCTTGAGGTCAAGGACTGTAGCAAACAGTGAAACACTTCTTAACCAGCTATCCCCCCGGGGCTCAGCACAGAACACCCCTCTCACCCCATACACAAAACCAAACTCAAAATAGTTTAAAGGCTTAAGCATAAGACAAGACACTATAAACCTTTTAGGAGAAAATATAGGTAAAACATTTTCTGACAAAAATCTTAGCAATGTTCTCCTAGGGCAGTCTACCCAGGCAACAGAAATAAAAGCAAAAATAAACAAATGGGACCTAATTAAACTTGTAAGCAGGTTTGCATAGCAAAGGAAACCAAGACAAAAACGAAAAGACAACCTACAGAATGGGAGAAAATATTTGCAAATGATATGACTGACAAAGGCTTAATTTCCAGAATATATAAACAGCTCATACAACTTAAAAACAAAAAAATAAACAACCCAATCCAAAAATGGACAGAAGACCTAAACAAGTAATTCACCAATGAAGACATACAAATGGCCAATAGGTATATGAAAAAATGCTATATATCACTGACTATCAGAGAAACACAAATCAAAACTACAGTGAAGTGTCACCTCACACCAGTCAGAATGGCCAGAAAAGTCCACAAGTGATAGATGTTGGAGAGGGTGTGGAGAAAAGGGAACCCTCCTACACTGTTGTTGGGATTGCAGTTTGGTGCTGACGTTATGGAAAACAATACGAAGGTTCCTTAAAAAGCTGAAAATAGACTTACCATATGATCCAGCATATATCCAGAGAGAACTCTAATTTGACAAGATACATGCACCCCAATGTTCATAGCAACACTATATACAATAGCCAAGACATGGAAACATCCCAAATGTCCATCGACAGATG